CTTGTGCTCTGTGGCGAGTGTGTGAGTGTTGTCGGGAATCCACTATCTTTTGGGGCTGTTTCGTAACAGCCCTAAAAGATTAATTAGTGTATACAGAATAAATTTATCGAAGAGTGTTTGGTTGATTTGAACCTTTTAAATCTCTTCATTCTACATTCAACACCATCACTTGATTAGAGACCAGAGGTGTTGAAACAAAATGGCTATTTTTGTAGTGATTTTATAACATGTTTATATTATATTTTTCGAATAAATTATATATATATATATATATATATATATATATATGTGTGTGTGTGTGTGTGTGTGTGTGTGTGTGTGTGTGATACGCTATACAATTCTATATATTAGATTAATAGTGAATAATTAAATGATAAAATGGAAAAGCCGATGTTATGTGTTTTGTTTTTATTGAAACAAGGAAGTTTTTTCGAAACACGATATGGGAAACAAATTTTTCTCCTTTAATTAGTATATACATACATACATACATATATATATATATATATATATATATATATATATATATATAAAGACATACACATACACACACACACAAACACACACACACATATATACATTTTTATATATCAGGAACAATATTGACGGAGGAAGGTTTGACAAAGTGAGAAAAGGTTTTCATGCGACGCATTAAGTCCTTTAGGACTTCATAGGACTAAATTTGTTACGTCGATGCGACTGCACATTCGCACGAAGGATAATTCATTTGATAAATTATTGTGTATGCATTAGTTATACAGAGAAATAAATTCAACCGCAACTTTGATATAAAGAATGTCACACTTATTAAAAGAGAGAGTAGCTCATTTAGAATTGAAATTCTCGAGAATGTCGCTATCGAATTTCATCAAAATATAAATCTGCGACCCGGATATTTTCAACTATCTCCATTCCTGAAACAATTACGATTTTCCCAAACCAAGATAAATGACTACAAAAATGTTAAAACATTTAAAGAAGACGGTTAAATCCATAATCTCTTGTTTCTCCAGTGTACAGTTCAGTAGACGAAATAAATACTGTTAACAAAACAAAAACGGAGCGTCTACTCAAATATGGGTATCCACTAAAAATAGCGTTTGAAATAATAATAATAATAATAATAATAATAATAATAATAATAATAATATATATATATATATATATATATATATATATATGCCCGACCCAACCGAAAACCAAACTGCGATTCAGGATAGATGTTGTCAACAAGGTGTATAATGATTCTGTTTAGAATCAGTCTAGCTAGGATTTTGCCTGCAATTGAAAGTAGTGATATCCCTCGATGACTATCACAGACACACCTGGAACCCTTGTTTTTGTAGAGGTGTTTGATTGAGCGTCTTTATAATCCTGTGGGACACAGCCTGACTTCCATGTCTCCACTAAAAAGAGATGTAAATTTTTTACCAACGTTTGGCCACCATGCTTATACATTTCGGGTGGACTAGGATCCTTAGGAGTAGGTGATTTTCCAGATGAGATTTGCTTGATGGAGTCAATTACCTCTTGATAAGTAGGTTCAAAAGACAACTCCGGAATTTCAGGATTTTTCTCAATTGATGTGATGGCTTCCTCCTCAGAAACCGAAATGGTGTTTAATACAGTTTCGAAATGCTTTTTCCAGCGATTTAAAATGTCTGACTTTTCCGTCAAGAGAGTTTCACCATCTGCTGTGGAGATAGAAGCAACACCACTTTTCTGAGGACCTAAAATGCTCTTAAGGGCAGCATAGAAAGCCTTTAGATCCTTTCTATCTGAAGCTTCTTGGAGTTCAGTGGCCTTTTCAGACCACCAACGCTCGCTGAACCTGACTTTTGCACTTCTTTTGCAATAATAATAATAATAAAAATAATAGGATAATTGCTATCCTACACCAAGAAAACATCAAATTCAAACTACAGATCCTTGAAGCAATATATATATATATATATATATATATATATATATATATATATACCAAAACCTCCAGATTTAAAATAAAAGTATTTTATAACTCATGTAAAAATGGTGTCTGTCACTTTTCTCCTAATTGTGACAATTACCGTCTGCAAATGTTCGGTGTAAGACAATAATTTCTCTTTTATTATAAACTCGCCTTCGGGCGAACTTTAGGCTAGCTCCTGCGCAGAGCATTTGGGTCTTCAGACTTTTACCTTCCTATGTACGTATAAAATTATAAGAATTTTGAAATAATAAATTTATTTTATCTTTATTCAACATGTTAATTCGGCATAATCTTTCTTCATATACCCAACCGATCTCCGTAGTTTGTTTACATTTGGTTTGCGCGCAATTTTTCTTTTCTTTTAAAATCTTCATTCTTTATGATCCCTTCACATAAAGTCACTCTTAAAAGACATTAGGGAACTCGAACAATGTAATATTTCGAATACGTCACAGTACGCGTGCTAGAAAAAAGGAGAAAATCATATGAGCAACGTACTGTGCCCGGCTTAATTTTTAATTACGGTTAAATTAGACGATATCAATTCCAACAAAGGGAAATTAAAGTTAAACCTTTAATAAAGGATTGTTTTTTTTTTCTTTTTTAAGTTTCACTCTGTTCGATACTTAAATTTAACTTTAAATGAGTTATTTATTTAATTTTTAATCGTGTGTTACTTCAGGTTCGTCGAGATAGAAAAACGGACAAACGGATGGACACACTTACATTGCGCTCTCTGGACAAGAACAATTCTTGGATAATTTGAAAAAGCAATTTTCCCTCCCATTATATATCTACTTTTCAAAAATAAAAGTAAGAAAACGAGATATCCCTACACAGCGGAATGAGAACAAACTGTCTCCGTAGATTAAATAAAGTGCTTTGTTCGAAATTCACTAAAGGTTACCTGGATTGAAATTTTGTGATAATAACAAGAAAGATGAGGACAGTCGTTTGACCGTAAACAGCAACAACAACAACATCAATAATAGTAATAATAATAATAATAAAAGCCAACAGACCTAATGTCATAAAAAAAAACAAGAAATTCAATAAGTGTTTACTTATTGACCTAGCAGTACCATCTGAGATAAACACCCTCATGAAAATTATAGAGAAATTGTCCAAATACAAGGACCTGGAGATCGAGATTAACAGGATGTGGGAGATGAAGTCTGAGACTGTACCAATAGTAATCGGAGCTCTAGGTCTCGTGAGAAAAAGAATGGACAATTTTACTAACAGTGTCCCTGGTAACATTATATAAGTCGCCCAGAAAATCGCCCGACTAGGAACATCCCATGTACTCAGAAAAGTGCTATCAACTAAATAACAATAGGGCGTAAGAACTATAGTTTGAACCCGGTTCTACATGATACAAAGCAGGAAACATAATATACACACATAATAAATAAATAAATTCACAGACCTACAAAGAGTGAATAAAGCCTGTGGTACATATCGCGAACCATCCTTCATCGAACCTTGTGAAGTGGAGCTACAGAATCACAAATAACAGAAACCACATCACTTGAGAACTACCAACAACGGCAACAACTAAAATGGCTAACACATATAACTCAAAGAGAAAATAATGGCATAATCAAGACGTTGACCTTCCGCACTACTTCAAAAAAAAAAAAGGTTAGGAAGGAAACCCCCATCAATACTAAAAAGTGCGAAACAATAACTGTACTTGAATTGCTAAATTGCTTTAATAGAAAGAATTTCACTCGAAAGTAGCACTAGCTGTCCGAGGAATGAATGCCAAATGTTTCCTTATATTACAGCTACTATAAGTCGGGCAGAAAATCAGGATCCTGTTTAGCGGTATGTTTAGAATGCAAATTGAATATTCGATGTGTATAGTGGGTACAATGTTGTGGTTAAGTTTAGCGGTAAGTGTTCAGACGAACTACACTCCTTAGTTCCACCTTCTAACCATCTAAGAACACAAATATTTTAAGGAATCACCCTCATTCCCTTCGTATTCCATTGGTGAGATCCAAGTTCTAATGGAGAAGATTCTTCTCCCAGGAACCACTGCTTTGTGGAAACGACTCCCAAGAAGATACTTCCCAGATCTTCTTTCTTTTTATGTGCCATATCCTTTTAGGACGTAGGCGATCATAGCTTTCCATCTCCCTTTCAGCTCTCAACAAGTTCCTTCACTCTGCTTCCTCTCCAAGATCACATTCTGTCATCCACTTGCTCAAGCCCGCCCGGTATGTCATGCGTTGTTTTCCCTTGTCTCTCTTTCCCTCTATTAGACCCGTGAGTATCAGATTCCCCAGGCCCTCCTTTCTCATTATGTGTCCCAGAAACTTCAGCTGCCTCTTCCTGATATTAAGTATAAGCCTCCTCCTTGTTTGCAACCTCTCTAAGATCTCATCGTTGTTCACACGCTCGATCCATGATATCTTTAGCATCCTTCTGTAGAGCCACATTTCTGTCGCCTCCTCTTCTTCCCCGATCACTACAACCTTCACCTGTTCAAGTCTAGGGTGAACCGTTATCTTCCCCACATATCCCCATAAACTGAAGCTCTTACTATGTAACCCTCTACTTCGAGTGGCTCTGAGGTCATGTTCTGGTTGACCACTATTGTAAAAAAAAAAAAAAAAAGAAAAAAGAAAAGAAAAGCCTACAGGAATTGAAACTGGGTTCTCCAATTTCTTATTTCAAGCATCTATCAATTACACCACCCAACTTGATGATAGAATGGATTTATGTTTTTGGGGTAATCTTAACTCCGTTAGTGTGAATTATTGTTTGTACAAAGGAGACAATTGTATTAGAAATTTAGGTTACTGTTCGCTTTAGGCTTGAAAGTCGTGTTTTGTTATTTATTTTGTTGTATTTTTTATTTATTTTCCTTTGATTACTTTGATATATATATATATATATATATATATATATATATATATATATATATATATATATTGTTAAATCTCAACTTCATGTGCCCACACGTAAACAGCAATTGTTACAGCTGTCTCTCACCTCTAACCGAAGCAAAATTATTACTTACCTATATCGTACCCTGTGATAAACTTCTGATTGTTCTTGTTAGGCGTATTTAGCTTATTTACCACCCACTGTATGGCCAACAGATTTCGAAGATTGTTCCAGTTCAATATTTCACATTTATTGGATTGGTCGTTTTTCTCGGTCGCGGCGAGAATTACGGCAAAGTGCAGCGTCTTCTGCTCATCTTGCTGCGCTTGGTCGGTCTGTACTGTTCTGTTATCACAGCTGTCGTAAACTAATCCATGGCTGATATGAAAAGAAACTGTTAAAATAAAAAATGCTAGGAAAACCGGCAGTGTTTTCCAGGTGACTTGGACTCCGACAACAAAGTCACTTGTTGTCACTGATGACGTCTCGACGTGCCTCAACATCAACAAGTTTCGCCTACGTAAGGTGTATTTACACTGTCCACACCGTGTACGAATTATATCCATTAGAAGATAACTCTTCCGATACACTTGATTGTGTTTATTTTCAAAGAATTACAGTTAGAAGCTTTTTAAGTGTGTGTATTCATTAATTGTGTACTAAGAATGAAACACATGACGAAACATCGTGACTTTTCCGGTTATTTTGTGAAGAAAAGTAGTGAATGATTGGCGGATAAACATTGTAAGAAAATGATAAGAAAAATGCGTGGACATAAAGAAAGGATATCCGTTCTCTCTCTCTCTCTTTTTTTTTTTTTTTTAAACCTTTTTAGTTTGTATAAACTTAAAAAAAAAACAAAAAAAACTTCCCTGTGTTGACGTTTTTCTCGTTCCTGACTTGTACGTTCTCGTACAACCGACTTTCTCAGTAGTATGTAAATTTGTTTGCTAGTAGTTCGTTTTTTTCCTTAGGTTATTTTTATCTTAAGAGAGAAAAAAGAAAAAAAAGAAAAACAAGGAAAAATATGATTGGCCAATGCACAGAGTTGTTCAGTGGAGTGGAAAGGTGTTTATGTGTATAGTCATTGTGTGGAGAAGTATCATCACATCGACTTCCCTCAATTGACCAAGTGAAGGTGAACACACACGCACACACATACACACACACACACACACACACACACATACACACACACACATATATATATATAGAGATAGATAGATAGATAGATAGATAGATAGATAGGGTGTGGCAAAAATACTTTTACAAAATTTTGAGGAGGGTCTCTCACACCAAAACAAGGACAAAAGTCCATATAAAAATATGTCCAATCCAAAATAAAATCCAAACAAGACCCTGCATACGTTGCAAATGATAGGGACACAGAAGCTCTTTTTGTAGTACCCTCTATGCGGTACTATGAGATGTAAGACATACTAGGGCCACTTGACGTGTACTGATACCTAGATCTTGTAGAAGATGTTCTTCGTGATCAGGCGTTCTAGCGGGTCTCGGTCTTCCTAGATCCATAGTTTGTGGTGCCACAGATCCTGTCTCAGCAATGCGACGGTAAACAGCAGAAAAGGTTGGATGACTAGGCTTCCTTCGGTCTGGGAACGAAATCTGATGCAGCCATGCAGCCTCGAGTCCATTACCATTTATAATCATATCTGCCTGCTCACGATATGAATATCCTGCCATTGTTAAACGGAACATTTCTCAGCTAACTCACTACTACACACGTAAAACGTTGAAGACAGACTAGCCACAAATCTACACGAATGAGAAATGTAACCTAATCTACATAGCGATAAAGCGCCATCTACCGTAAACTTTCTTCAAACTTAAAAACAAAGGATTTTCGGACATCTATTTATATGGGTTTTTGTCCTTGTTTTAGTGTGATGAACTCCCCCCCACAAAAAAAAAAGTTTGTAAAGTATTTTGGTACACACACACACACACACACACACACACACACACACAACACACACACACAAATGTAAAACTTGGGATGACCCATGCCTTTTGTGCCTCCATGAAAAATTGCACATTATTAAGCTTCTAAATAATAATAATCTATTAAACAATAGACACGAGTTAACGGTTTTTTGTAGACATCATCATATTTTTGGTTTGAATTATTAGATTAAAAAAAGCATAAAATATAATAACTTGTTTAATCCATAGCCCAATCTTCAGATTCATGGTTTGAATAATTAACTATAAACATGCATACAATATAACACCCTTCATAATCCATAGCCCAAATAAATAGTTTAAATACCCTACAAAATAGATAACCCTTTATGAAGTCGTCAAAAAACAAACGTTATGACAGTTTTTTTATATGCATAAAAAAATAAAATAAAAAAATAAATAAATCTCCATAGACATGCAAACTAGACGAGGGTTAATACATATTCCGTTTCAAATTTAGACACCCCTACCTTTCCCTGACTTGACATCTACGAAAGTAACTCTATACTGATACTTATTATTAACACCCAACACTCGCCTACCCAATTTAAACAATTCGCCCTAGCTGTTACCATGGAAATTTTGATTTCAATTTTTAAAACACGTAAATTTCAGATATACGTTATTCCAAAAAAAAAATTTCGCTTGAAGATGGAACAAAGCTTATTTTAACTTTAATTTAAATAATTATATTGAAGTTTTCGGCTCTTGTTTTGAAACATGAGACATCTTATGTAGCGTTTTGAATCATATTTTTAAATAAATAATTATATATATATATATATATATATATATATATATATATATATGTTACTTATCGTACAAATCATATCCAAGTTGACAATGACTGTGATATTTGAAAGTATTCGAATATAACAGAGCATAATGATGAACTTTGAACAATTTATTAAGAACTTTAATCCCGATGTAAAGCACCTCATTCGGAAATTGGGGACACATAATAAAAAGTTGAATAATCAGAACTTGTCGTTTGTATTAAATAAAACTTGATTAGATAAGTTCATGCCGTCTAAATACACGTTATATATATATATATATATATATATATATATATACTCGACTCTCCCGTCGAATTCGACGTATGAAGGTCAAGCAGCTCAGTTCTTATGAACCGAAAGCCGGACACAAGCACATGAGATTTGATTATAGTTGTGAAGGTTTTGTGCAAAACCATCCTCACTTTTTGAAGGGCCGAATACAGAGACTCCACAGGTTTTGAATTCATAGTTGTCCTTCTCCTAGACCAGTTGCCATCCAAGGCTATAGAACCCAGTCTGTCCTATATATATATAACCTGTAACTGGAGGGAAGGATCCGTTTGTCCAGTAGAGGGAATATGTTTGTCCGAAACGTTATATACGAGGCTACAATTTTCCCCAAGGAAGATATTAAACAGAAGATCTACATAGGGATATCGGCGGGAAATTGGAAGCAACGGTTTTATAACCATCGCCAATCCTTCACAAATAAATCAATGAAACATCAAACTGCACTTTCTAAGCATTATTGGGAGTTGTTGGAAAGCAAATTAACACCACAAGTAAAATGGAGAATCGTCTCGAGAGCTAGAACTCCGATAAACTTCAGAGACCGATGCAATTTGTGCATTAAAGAAAAAATCTTAATAATAAAGCATATTATTTTGCTGAACAAACATAACGAGTTGATTTGTAAATGCAGACATAAAAACCACCTCAATTTAACGAAGTATGTTTAGAAACAACTATATAAAAAGGGAAAATGTTAATTTTGTTTTTGAAATGAATGTATGTATACATGGATACTATACTTGTTGGTATGTACGCGGATGAACATTTATATGTGAATTTATTTATTTATATATATATATATGTATGAACATTTTGGATAAGGGTGCTTATGTGGATATATGTACTCTTTTAATTGTGGGCACATGTGTATGGAGGTATGTATATATACATATGTGTGAGTATAAATATATAAATATGGGGTATGTTTAATTACTAACGTTATTTTTGCTAGGTATAGTTATATATATATATATATATATATATATATATATGTATGTGTGTATTTTGCATATGTGTGAATGTATGTGTACAAGTGTGTATTTGTGCATGTGTGTAGGTGTATGTGTATCTGTATATTGTGTGTATATGTACAGATATGTATACATGTATTTATATATGTGTAGTATTTTGAATATTAAATTACTTGTAATATGTATGTAGATGTATATACCTTAGAATTAATATTTGTAATATATGTGTGAATAGATGTATAACATTGTAATATAAATACAAACTAGAATTCTTTTTATATGCTTTTTTTATGTATATAATCGTGTGTAGATATATAGGTATTTATGTATGTATGTGTGTGTATGTGTATATATATGGTTGTATATGTATATAAGGGTGTGTATATGTATATGAATATACCTATGTGTATATATGTATATATAGATAGATGGATAGTTAAATAGATAATTGATAAATAGATATATATATATATATATATATATATATATATATATATATATATATATATATATATATATATATATATATATGTGTATAGGTGTATGAAATATTTTTAAATGGAAGTACTTGGGTCATTCTAATGGTATTTTAAAATTGCTCTTTTTAATATTTAGTAACACTTTCACTTTTAATGTTCTTTAATTAGAATTTTGAGAGTGTATTTTTATCTTCTTAAGGGAGTTTCATCTTAAAATTGATAATTTAAATTTAAATATTTAAATTTAATTTAAATTTAAATATAACTCTTTAACTATTAATAGTAATAATAATATTAACGAAATTCCTTTAATAATGAAGCACTTCAGAAGTCACCTAAAGTTAAACTTTAACTATAAAATCAAACTAAAATCTAAATAAATTTCAAATGTTAAAATATAGGTAATGATTGAGAAATGTATGTATATATAATTTATGTATGAAGATGGATGAACATTTGTGTATATTGTTGCACGTGTGTCTATGTGTGTATTTGCACATGTAAATAGACGTATGTATATATGGATTTGCATGAATATGTTTGTGAGATAAATATAAGAAGAAAACAAAATCTTTAATATTACCCTCAAATATTATTAAATAATGAAACCTAAACCTTAATTAAGTTTACCCATATAATAATAAAGAAGAAGTACATTCATAAATTAGAATTAAAGTAAAACTAATATAGATGTTATTGTTACCGAAATTTTTTTACAATATTATGGAAGTACAGTTGGTCGGGTAAATAAACTATTATAATTTTAAAAATTTCTTTAATATGTTATCGATAAATGTGCTAATAAAAATAGTAGTTAACTTATATTAAGTCCCTAAACTATTTACTTAAAAAATTAAATGTTTAAATTGATAACATTTTTTAGACATCTAAATTTCTATCAAGCATTGAAATCTATCTTTTACATAATTTTGTTAAAACAAAATTACAGCCTCTTTCGATTCACTTCCCTCTCCCCCTCTCTCTTTGTCGTAACACTCATTTAGATATATCTGTATTACTGTCGTCTGTCTCCTCACTCTTTTCCTTTTTTCATTTTCTTTTC